GTTCTTCCTTCTTCCTTCCCTCTACCTGTTCTTCTCCCTCTTCCTCCTCCTCTCCCTCTTCCTCTACCTATTCTTCTTCCTCTTCCTCCTCCTCTCCCTCTACCTATTCTTTTTCTCTTCCTCCCCTCTCCCCTTCCTCTTCCTCCCCCTTCCCCTCTTCCTCTAACTATTCTTCTTCCTCTTCCTCTACCTGTTCTTCTTCCCCTTCCTCCCCCTCTCCCTCTTCCTCTACCTGTTCTTCTTCCTCCCTATCTCTTCCTCTTCCTCTTCCTCCCTTCTCCCTCTTCCTCTTCCTCTCTCTTCCTTCCCTCTTCCTCTAACTATTCTTCTTCCTGTTCCTCTATCTGTCTCTTCTTCTTCTTCCTCCCCCTCTCCCTCTCTCTACCTATTTCCTCTTCCTCTTCCTCCTCTCTCCCTCCTCTTCCAGACGTCAGCTCGAACTCGGCAACGCCAATGACTACCTGGACTTAGTGATGGCTAATCTTGGTCCCTTGATGGAGGCGGGGGGACTGGACCGCGCCCCCCCCCCTCCCCCGCTGCCAACCTGGACTTCGGGATGGTCTGTAGTCACGTGTCTGTTCTGTCTGAATTTCCCACACCCTCCCTAAAAACGTTTCCCACACCCTCCCTAAAAACGTTTCCACACCTCCCTAAACGTTTCCCACACCCTCCCTAAAAACGTTTCCCACACCCTCCATAAAAACGTTTCCCACACCCTCCATAAAAACGTTTCCCACACCCTCCCTAAAAACGTTTCCCACACCCCTCCCTAAAAACGTTTCCACACCCCTCCTTAAAAAACGTTACTCCTCCCTAAAACGTTTCCACACCCTCCTAAAAACGTTTACACGCCTCCCTTTAACACCCTCCCTTAAAAACGTTTCCCACAACCTCCTAAAAACGTTTCCCACACCCTCCCTAAAACGTTTCTCCCACACCCTCCCTAAAAACATTTCCCACACCCCCCTCCCTAAAAACGTTTCCCACACCCTCCTAAAACGTTTCGCCAACCTTCCTACATTTCCACATCCCTTAAACGTTTCCCCACACCCCCTAAAAACGTTTCCACACCTCCCTAAAAAACGTTTCCCACACACCCTCCCTAAAAACGTTTCCCACACCCTCCCTAAAAACGTTTCCCACAACCCTCCCTAAAACGTTTCCCACACCGTCCTAAAAACGTTTCCACACCCTCCATTAAAAAACGTTTCCCACACCCTCCTAAAAACGTTCCCACACCCTCCTCTAAAAACGTTCCCACACCTCCCTAAAACGTTTTCTCACTCCTTCCCTTAAACAAAACGTTTCCCACACCCTCCCTAAAAACGTTTCCACACCCTCCTAAAAACGTTTTCCTCACACCACTCCCTACAACAACATCACCCTCCAGCCCTCCCCTAAAAACGTTTCCCACTCCCCCCTAAAACAACGTAAACTTCCCTACATCCTCCCTAAAAACGTTTCCACACTCTCCTAAAAACGTTTTCCACACCCTCCATAAAAAACGTTTCCCCACTCCGTCCTTAAAAATTTCCACACCCTCCCTAAAAACGTTTACCACACCCTCCCAAAAACGTTTCCACACACCCTCCATAAAAACGTTTTACGCACACCCTCCTAAAAACGTTTCCCAAACCTCCCTAAAAACTTCCCATACCTCGCATTTCACAGCTCCTAAAAAACGTTTCCCACACTCCCTAAAACGTTTCCCGCACTCACTAAACAAACGTTTCCCACACTCCCTAAAAAACGTTTCCACAACAACCTCTCCCTAAAAACGTTTCCCCACCCTCCCTAAAATTCGTTTTCGCCACTACTCCCCTAAAACGTTTCCCACACCCGTCCCTAAAATGTTTCCCACAACTCCCTAAAGAAACGTTTCACCACACCCTCCTAACAACGTTTCCACACCCTCCATATAAAAAACGTTTCCCAACACGCCTCCCTAAAAACGTTTCCCAGCAACCTCGCCTAAAAACGTTACCCTCCCACAACCCTCCCTAAAAACGTTTCCACACAATCCCATAAAACGTTCCCCAACTCCCCCCTCAAAAAACGTTTCCTCACACCCTCCCAAAAACGTTCTTCCCCACACCCCATAAGAAAAACCGTTTCCGCCCTCACATCCCTCCTTCGAAAACGTTTCCCACCACCCTCTCTAAAAATCGTTTCTTCCCTCTATTCCATCTCCATACACACAACTAACAACAAACGAATTCATCCCACACCTCACACGTTCAAAAAACATGTCACATATCCAATCACCATAAACCACACAACAACACCACACACAACACACACAAACTGCCGCCCAACACGACGCCCCAAGAAACGCACACCATAACAAACACAAAGCTGGGGTTCATAAATCTCTCGTCTCCCTCCCTATAGACATAAGCGCAGACCACCTGCAGGGGCTAAAAATAACGGTATATGCATGACAGCGGACGAATAGATGTTTCCTACACACCCTCCTTAAAAACATGTCCAACACCTCTCTCTTCCTAAAAACCGTTTTCCATTACTCCCGTCTGCTCTTCGAAAACGTTTCTCCACACCCCTCCATAAAAAACGTTTCACACACCTCTTAAAAACGTTTCCTATCTACCTCTCTCCTAAATAATATCTGTCTTCCCTATCCTCTTCTCCGTCTTTGTCCCTAAAAAGTTTCTCTAGACCCTCCCTAGAATAACTGTTTCTCGTCTCTCACATCCCTCTCTACTCTCTATAAAACGTTCCCACATCCTCTCGTCAAAACGTTCCACATAACTTGCACTCCCTAAACGTTTTCCACACTCTCCCACCAATACGTTTCGCCAAACCCTTAAAACTGTTCGTTCCTACATCCTCCCCTAGAAATGTGTCTACACCCTCTCTTAATAACGTTTTCCCATCTCCCTCTCTTTCTAAATATACTGTTTCCAGCACCGCCCTAAAAAATCGCTTCCCTCTCACACCTCCTTAAAAACATGTCCACCCTTCCTCTCAAAAAACGTTTCGCCACACCCTCCTAAAAACGTTTCTACCTTCCACACTCTCGCTCCCTACACACAAAACGTTTTCCCAACCCTCCATAAAAACGTTTTCCACTCACTCTCCATAAAAAAAGTTTTTCCCAGCACCTCCATTAAATAACGTTTTCCCACACCCCACAATCAACGTTTTTCCCCACTAACCTTCCCTAAAAACGTTTCCTCACACTCCTCCCGGTATAAACGTTCCCGCATATCCCTTCTCCCTTAAAAATCGATTCCTCAACTGCTCCCCTTCCCTAAAACTGTTTCGCCACTCGCTATAATTGTTTCACAGACCTCCCTAAAAATGTTTTCCTCCACCTCCCTAACCACAACGTTTCCCACACCCTTCCTAAAAACGTTTCCACACCCGCCTAAAAAACATTTCCCACACCTCTCCCTAACAACGTTCTCCTCATCCAATCATCTCCTTCTCTCCCTTAAAAACATTTCCCACACCCTCCAAAATAAACGTTTCCACGCCCTCCTTTAAAACGTTTCTACGTACCCAATCCTGAAAACGTTTCGCCACACCCTCGCTAAACAAACGTTCCCCATCACCCGCCCTAGAAAAACATTTCCCACACCCTTCCTAAAAACGTTTCCCACATCGCCGCCCTAAAAACGTTCCCACACGACTCCTTAAAACGTTTCCACACCATTCCCTTAAAAACTTTCCAACATCTCCCAGCAATTAAACAACGTTTCCCACATTCCCTAAAAACGTATTCTCTCACACCTCCCTAAAACAAATCGTTTCCGCCTCCACACCTATAAAACGTTTGCTGCACATATCCCTCCTAAAAAACGTTTCCGCACAATCCGCTATAAAAACGTTCCCACACCCACCCTTAAAAACGTTTCCACGCCTCCTCCTTAAAACGTTTCCACACCCTAAAACATTCTCATACCTTCCCTAAAAACGTTTCCCACACCCTAAAAACATTTCCCACACGCTCCCTAAAAACGTTTCCCACACCATCCCTAAAAACGTTTCCCACACCCGCCCTAAAAACATTTCCCACATATTCCCTTTCCCTAAAAACATTTCCTTCTACACGCCTCCAAAAAACATTTCCACACCCTCCCTAAAACGTTTCCCCACTATTTTACCATCCTAAAAAACGTTTTCCCACACATCCTAAAAACGTTTCCCCACACGCCGCCTAAAAACATTTCCCACACCCTCCCTAAAACATTTCCCACACCCTCACCTAAATCGTTTCCACACTCCCCTAAAAAGTTTCCCACACCCTCCTAAAAAACGTTTTCCCACACCCTCCCAAAAAACGTTTCCCACACCCTCCCAAAAAAACATTTCCTACACCCTCCCAAAAAACGTTTCCCACGCCCTCCCTTAAAACGTTTCTCACGCCCTCCCTGAAAACGTTCCAGGGCGTGGCGGACCTGTACAACGGCCAGCTGACGGGCTTGTCCACTCTCCACCGCGACGGCACCTGCACCCTTGACCGAGTGGCGGACTGGCTCTTCCTCTACGCGAACGTGGCGGTGGAGAACCTCGGGGTAAGTGGAGGTGGTGGAGAGGGAGAGAAAGGAGGAGGGGGGAAGTGGAGGTGGATGAGAGGGAGAGAAAGGAGAGGGAGGAAGTGGAGGTGGATGAGAGGGAGAGAAAGGAGAGAGGAAAGGAGGAGGAGGAAGGAGAGGTGGTGGTGAGGGAGAGAAAGGAGGAGGGAGGAAGTGGAGGGGTGGAGAGGGAGAGAAAGGAGGAGGGAGGAGTGGAGGTGGTGGAGAGGGAGAGAAAGGAGGAGGGGAGGAAGTGGAGGTGGTGGAGAGGGAGAGAAAGGAGGAGGGAGGAAGTGGAGGTGGTGGAGAGGGAGAGAGGGAAGAGAAAGGTGGAGGAGGGAGAGAAAAGGAGGAGGGGGAAGTGGAGGTGGTGGAGAGGGAGAGAAAGGAGGAGGGGGAAGTGGAGTGGTGGAGAGGGAGAGAAAGGAGGAGGGAGGAAGTGGAGGTGGTGGAGAGGGAGAGAAAGGAGGAGGAGGAAGTGGAGGTGGTGGAGAGGGAGAGAAGGAGGAGGGGAAGGGAGGTGGTGGAGGGAGGGAGGAGGGAGGAAGGGGAGGTGGTGGAGAGGGAGAGAAAGGAGGAGGGGAAGTGGAGGTGGTGAGAGGGAGAGAAAGGAGGAGGGAGGAAGTGGAGGTGGTGGAGAGGGCGAGAAAGAGGAGGGGGAAGTGAGTGGTGGAGAGGGAGAGAAAGGAGGAGGGAGGAAGTGGAGAGGGAGAAAGGAGGAGGGAGGAAGGGGAGGTGGTGGAGAGAGAGAGAAAGGAGGAGGGAGGAAGTGGAGGTGTGAGAGGGAGAGAAAAGAGGGGAGGAAGTGGAGGTGGTGGAGAGGGCGAGAAAGGAGGGGGGGGAAGTGGAGGTGGTGGAGAGGGAGAGAAAGGGAGGAAGGGGAGGTGGTGGAGAGGGAGAGAAAGGAGGAGGGAGGAAGTGGAGGTGGTGGAGAGGGGAGAAAAAGGAGGAGGGGAAGTGGAGGTGGTGGAGAGGGAGAGAAAGGAGGAGGGAGGAAGTGGAGGTGGTGGAGAGGGAGAGAGGAGGAGGGAGGAAGTGGAGGTGGTGGAGAGGGAGAGAAAGGAGGAGGGAGGAAGTGGAGGTGGGGAGAGGGAGAGAAAGGAGGAGGGAGGAAGTGAGGTGGTGGAGAGGGAGAGAAAGGAGGAGGAGGAAGTGGAGGGAGAGGGAGAGAAAGGAGGGAGGAAGTGGAGGTGGTGAGAGGGAAAAGGAGGAGGGGGGAAGTGGAGGTGGTGGAGAGGGAGAGAAAGGAGGAGGGAGGAAGTGGAGGTGGATGAGAGGGAGAGAAAGGAGGAGAGAAAGGGAAGGGGAGGGAGGAGGGAGTGGAGGTGGTGGAGAGGGAGAGAAAGGAGGAGGGAGGAAGTGGAGGTGGTGAGAGGAAGAGAAGGAGGAGGGAGGAAGTGGAGGTGGTGGAGAGGGAGAGAAAAGGAGGAGGGAGGAAGTGGAGGTGGTGGAGAGGGAGAGAAAGGAGGAGGGAGGAAGTGGGAGGTGGATGAGAGGGAGAGAAAGGAGGAGGGAGGTGGAGGTGGTGGAGAGGAGAGAAAAGGAGGAGGAGGATGGAGGTGGTGGAGAGGGAGAGAAGGAGGAGGGAGGAAGTGGAGTGGTGAAGAGGGAGAGAAAGGAGGAGGGGGGAAGTGGAGGTGGTGGAGAGGAGAGAAGGAGGAGGGAGGAAGTGGAGGTGGTGGAGAGGGAGAGAAGGAGGGAGGGAGGAAGTGAGGTGGTGGGAGGGAGAGAAAGGAGAGGAGAAGTGGAGGTGGTGGAGAGGGAGAGAAAGGAGGAGGGAGGAGGTGGTGAGTGGAGGTGGTGGAGAGGGAGAGAAAGGAGGAGGGAGGAGGTGGAGGTGGTGGAGAGGGAGAGAAAGGAGGAGGGAGGAAGTGGAGGGATGAGAGGGAGAGAAAGGAGGAGGGAGGAAGTGAGGTGGTGAGAGGGAGAGAAAGGAGGAGGGAGGAGTGGAGGTGGTGGAGAGGGGAGAAAGGAGGAGGGAGGAAGTGGAGGTGGTGGAGAGAGAGAGAAAGGAGGAGGGAGGAAGTGGAGGTGGATGAGAGGGAGAGAAAGGAGGAGGGAAGAAGTGGAGGTGGTGGAGAGGGAGAGAAAGGAGGAGGGAGGATGTGGAGGTGTGGAGAGGGAGAGAAAGGAGGAGGAAGTGGAGGTGGTGAGAGGGAGAAAGGAGGAGGGAGGAAGTGGAGGTGTGGAGAGGGAGAGAAGGAGGAGGGAGGAAGTGGAGGTGGTGGAGAGGAGAGAGAAAGGAGGAGGGAGGAAGTGGAGGTGGTGGAGAGGGAGAGAAGGAGGAGGGAGGAAGTGGAGGTGGTGGAGAGGGAGAGAAAGGAGGAGGGAGACGTGGAGGTGGTGGAGAGGGAGAGAAAGGAGGAGGGAGGAAGTGGAGTGGTGGAGAGGGAGAGAAAAGGAGGAGGAGGAAGTGGAGGTGGTGGAGAGGGAGAGAAAGGAGGAGGGAGGAAGTGGAGGTGGTGGAGAGGGAGAGAAAGGAGGAGGGAGGAAGTGGAGGTGGGAGAGGGAGAGAAAGGAGGAGGGAGGAAGTGGAGGTGGTGGATAGGGAGAGAAAGGAGGAGGGAGGAAGTGGAGGTGGTGGAGAGGGAGAGAAAGGAGGAGGAGGAAGTGGAGGTGGGGAGAGGGGAGAGAAAGGAGGAGGGAGGAAGTGGAGGTGGTGGAGAGGGAGAGAAAGGAGGAGGGAGGAAAGTGGAGGTGGATGAGAGGGAGAGAAAGGAGGAGGGAGGAAGTGAGGTGGTGGAGAGGGAGAGAAAGGAGGAGGGAGGAAGTGGAGGTGGTGGAGAGGGAGAGAAAGGAGGAGGGAGGAAGTGGAGGTGGTGGAGAGGGAGAGAAAGGAGGGAGGAAGTGGAGGTGATGAGGGAGAGAAAAGGAGGAGGGAGAAGTGGAGGTGGTGGAGAGGGAGAGAAAGGAGGAGGAGGAAGTGGAGGTGGTGGAGAGGGAGAAAGGAGGAGGGAGGAAGTGGAGGTGGTGGAGAGGAGAGAAAGGAGAGAGGAAGTGAGGTGGATGAGAGGGAGAGAAGGAGGAGGGGAAGTGGAGGTGGTGGAGAGGGAGAGAAAGGAGGAGGGAGGAAGGGAGGTGGTGGAGAGGGAGAGAAAGGAGGAGGGGAGGAGTGAGGTGGTGGAGGGGAGAGTGGAGGTGGTGGAGGAGAGAGAGGAGGGAGGAAGTGGAGGTGGTGGAGAGGGAGAGAAAGGAGAGGGAGGAGTGGAGGTGGTGGAGGGGAGAGAAGAGGAGGGAGGAAGTGGAGGTGGTGGAGAGGGAGAGAAAGGAGGAGTGGAGGTGGTGGAAAGGGAGGAAAGGAGGAGGGAGGAAGTGGAGGTGGTGGAGAGGAGAGAAAGGAGGAGGAGGAAGTGGAGGTGGTGGAGAGGAGAGAAAGGAGGAGGAAGTGGAGGTGGATGGTGGAGAGGGAGAGAAAGGTGGAGGGGGAGAGGTGAGAGGGAGGGAGGGGAGGAGTTGGAGGTGGTGGAGAGGGAGAGAAAGGAGGAGGGAGGAAGTGGAGGTGGATGAGAGTGAAGGTGGTGGAGAGGGAGAGAAGGAGGAGGGAGGAAGTGGAGGTGGAGAGGAGAGAAAAGGAGGAGGGAGGAGTGGAGGTGGAGAGGGAGTGGAGGTGGTGGAGGGAGAGAAAGGAGGAGGGAGGAAGTGGAGGTGGTGGAGAGGGAGAGAAAGGAGGAGGGAGGAAGTGGGGGTGGTGGAGAGGGAGAGAAAGGAGGAGGGAGGAGTGGAGGTTGGAGAGGAGAGAAAGGAGGAGGGAGGAAGTGGAAGAGGGAGAAAAGGAGGAGGAGGAAGTGGAGTGGTGAGAGGTGGAGGTGGTGGAGGGAGAGAAAGGAGGAGGGAGGAAGTGGAGGTGGTGGAGCAGAGGGAGAGAAAGGAGTGGAGGGTGGATGGAGTGGATGAGAGGGAGAGAAAGGAGGAGGGAGTAAATGGAGATGAGGGAGAGGGAAAGAAAGAAAGAAAGAAAGAAAGAAGAAGTAAGGGGATGTGGATGAGAAGGAGAGCAAGGAGAGAGCAAGTGGAAGTGGATGACCATGGATGAAATAAGGAGGAAATATTCGGTAAATGAAGTTGAGTGAGGAAAGAAGAGGAAGGAAAATAAAAGATTTGCTTTAATCATTTCCATTTACCCTTGTCATTCTTGTCTTGTCTTATCTATTTGGCTGCTATGTGTTTTATATGCCTTATTGCTATTGTTGTTCTCAATACCATAATATCTATTTTTAAAACTTAACTATGACATTATTATCTTCATTACTTATATCATCTTTCTCTCTCTCTCCTTTCTCTCTCTCTCCTCCTTTTTTTTCTTTTCTCTCTTCTGTCTTTTTTTCTTTCTCTCTCTCCTCTCCTCTCACTCTCCCTCCTCTCTTTCTTTCTCTTCCACCTTCTTATCTCTCTTTCTTTCTCTCTCTCTAACCCTTTCCTTGACCAACCCATCAACCCACCTATTTCACCATCCACCTTCTTCCCCCTCTCCCCCTTCCCCCCTCCCCCTCCCCCGCCCCCACCAGGTGCACTACACCGGCCGCGTGTCTCGAGTGGCATGGTCTCGGTGGTCGTGGAAGTGGACGCGACCGTCAGCAGTGTGGCCCTGTACTTCGTGGCTCGCGCAGACGTGTACAGCCTCCAAGCGGACATGGATCAGTTCATCATCTCAGAGTTCGGGTGAGTGGGAGGCCTCGTTTGTGGGGTATTTTGCTTTTCTTGTTGTTGTTTGTACGGTTTTTTGTGGGAGGCCTCGTTTGGTCATGAGTCGGGAATTTTGCTTTTCTTGCTGTTGTTTGTACGTTTTTTTTTGACACCGTTTTGTGGTGTGTTTGTGTCTTTATCTTTATTATTGATATGTCGTTATTGATAATCTTATTATGTAGTTAGTAGGGGTTATTTATATGATTATTTCATTTTACAATTCATTTAGTATCTGATTATCATAAATGTTATTATCATTATTATTATTTCTGCCAATATCATTACTGTTATTAGTATTATCAGCATTACCTTAATTATCTGCATTACCTCCGCCAAGTAGGTTATGTTTTTGGTAGCATTGGTTAGTTTGTTGGTTGACTGGTTAGCAGGATAACAAAAATAAATAGATTTTTATGAAACTTTTACCAGAAGTGTGTCTTAGCTCAACTCGGATGCCACTAGATTTTGATGGTGAACCGGATCATGACCCGGACCTAGGAGAACTCAAAAAGTTATGAACGGATTTTTTTTTTTTTTTTTTTTTTTTTTTTTAACGAGAGGTGTGCCTTAACCCAACTTAGATGCCATTAAATCTTGATGATCTGGATCGTGAATGTAATTCTTCGAGTGTGAATATTTTTATTGCATCAGTGACCCTGTTGCCTTGGCGGAGGTATGCGCTTTCTGATTATCGTTATTGTTTTACGAACAGAAAATGGAGTTTCATATATTATAAATTTATTATTATTATTATTTTTTTTTTTTTTTTTTGTTATTCTTTATCCGTTATAATTCTATCATTACCTATTTATCAAAAATAATTTATGGAATCTTACTCGTATGTGTCTGTCAGTGATTTAGCATAAGTGTATCGTGTATGCATGTGTACATTTTTTCTTTATTTCTTTCTTTTTTCTATTCGTTTCTGTTTTTGTTTTTGTGGTGAAAAGAGGTGTATCGTGGGTGTGATGTGCCTTAGAATTCGTTGTTACAAGAATTAACAATTTTCCTGTGCCTTATTTTCCTTCTTCTGAATAGTACCTATCCCTCCCTGTAATTATGATAATAGTAATAATATGCTTGGAAAATATTCGGATCAATATAGCGTGGAATTTGCAAAATAGCCGTCAACATACTTTCCTTTTAATCATTTTGTACTGAATTGGATATAACTCATGTTGATAGTGCATGGAGTATCTTCATAAGAGCAAAATATAAATTTATGAAGATGTTTTCAATAAGCTTTATATTAAGAAGTCACTCGGTAATTATCATAACACATAGCTTCGGAAAAGTGAATTAATCATAGAACACGAAGAAAAAAAATCCACGCACTATACTCAAAGAAAGAAAGGTAAAAAAAAAAGATAATATAACTTGATACTATTAAAAACGCTTAACAAGAAAACCATGAAAGCTCAGCAAAAAACAAAACTACAAGACAACAGGCAAAAAAGAAAAGAAATCAAATAAATAAAATGATAATAATTTCCCCCTTCTCCTCCACAGGAAAATCGACGTCCGAATCGATGGCCTCGGCCCACTCGACTACCTCGTGTCTCCGCTCGCCGAAGCCGTCGCCAACCTCGTTCGCGACGACGTATCCGAACTCCTGGAGACGAAGGTCAAGCAGGCGATCCAAGACGCTCTGAACGAAACGCCTTGGTCGATGTTCGAATGAGTGATTAAAGGAGAATCATTAATCGAACGGAAATCTTGATGTTTTTCTCCCTCTCCACAACCCTTTATCTTCCTTGGTTCGGGATACTTATTGCTTTGTATTTTTATTTTAGTTTTTTTTTATGTTGCTTTTTCTCTCTCTTCTTCGCTGTGTTTCTGGACAGAATGCGAAAGAAGAAAAAAAGGGAGAGATAAGGGAAGGGAGAAGGCTAATGATAAGGAGCAGAAAGTGAAGGAGGATGAAGAGAAAAGAGAAAGGGAGAGAGAAAGAGGGAGTAAAAGAGTAACAGGGAGAGAGGGAGTCAAATCAAATCAAATGTTCATTCCCACCAATAAATTTTTTTCTTAACACAATATACAATACGAAATACAAAACATACATCCCACTTAATTCATTATTATAGTTACCGTAAAATAAGATTTTTTTTTTTTTTACAAATCAAAGAAACGGGAATATTGGGATAAATAATATATGATATAGAACATAGTTAATGGTTAATGGTTAATGGTTAAGATAAATGTGCTAGACATCTAAGGTCATATAGCACTATAGGAAGGTATAGTAAAGGGGGATGTCAGGTGATAGTTGTTATGTGTCAACTATCCAGAATAGTGTTGAAAGGTTGAAGATGAGGGAAAAGATTATGGTGGATTAGGTAAGGGAGTTAGATAAAGTGAAGGATATTTATGTGTCTGAGGAAGGAGAACAGGTTGTCGAGGCAGAAGCTGTGAGATTCTGTAAGGATGTCTGATATGTTGGGAGGTCGGTGAAGGGAGGATAGGTGTGGAAAAGCAGAGGTACGTGCTGTATTAAAGCGTGGACAGGACAAGAGAATGTGTGGGACTGAAAGAGGGATGTTACATAGAGGACATAGGGGCGGGTCTGAGCGTGACATCAGATAGGCATGTGTTAGGCGAGTGTGGCCAATACGTAATCGTGCGAGGGCCGTCTCCCAACGTCTGTTTTTGTGAAATGGAGCTGACCAAGAGGAGATTGATGGTTTTACGGTATGTAATTTATTGTTATGGAGTCTTGACCAAAAAGATTGCCATCGGGTATACAAGAAGGTCTTAAAGTGGGGGTAGTAATCTGTAGCTGGAATATGTGAGAAGCGTTGTTGAGGTGATGTGGACATTGCGGCATATCGTGCAAGAGTATCTGCCTGTTCATTGCCAGGGATTCCAACATGGCTGGGTACCCAGCAAAATCTGACAGATTTGTGACGTGTGGATAGATAGAACAACCAGTTCTGGATCTTACAGACAAGGGGATTGGTCGAGTGCATAGACTTTATGAGGGTTAAAGAGTTACGGGAGTCAGTAAAAATAGTAAAAAGGGAAGAGGTGATGAATATATGCGTCTTAAGGCAAAAAGGAGTGCATATAGTTCTGTAGTAAGGACACTAGATTCAGGAGGGAGGGTGTATTTGAAAGTGCAATTTGGGAATGTTACTGCGAATCCAGCTCCTGAGATGGATTTGGAACCGTCAGTGTAAACATGAATGCTGGAGGAATGAATGGAGACATGGTCAAGGAAATGAGTGAGAAGGATAGAGGGGGGAATATCTGATTTTTGGTGGGTCAGGGAAAACTGAGGAGCAAATACAGGAGTTAGGTATAAGCCATGGAGGAATGGAATGGACAGACAGTGGGAGAGGTCGGAGATGAGGGAAGGGGGACTGGGAGAGGAGGGTATCCATGCGTACGGGGAGAGGAGTTGGTAAACGTGGAGAAGATATAAAGGTATGAAGTAAGGATTGTGGAATAGTTAGTTTGGTAAGGGGAAATTGGTGAAATCGAGCATAGCATCGGAGAGAGAGAAGGGCTCGACGTCGAGAGAGGGACGGCATGCCTGATTCAGTATATAGGCTCTCAACTGGAGGAGCGGAAGGCGCCTAGGGCTAAGCGGAGACCGCTGTGGTGGATTGTATCAAGGTGAGCAAGAAGAGAGGTTGAGGCAGAGGAGTAGATATGGCATCCATAATCTAGAGTGGAGAGAATCAAGGTAACATGAAGATGGAGGAGAGTTTTGCGATCTGAGCCCCAGGAGATATGTGAAAGAGTTTGTTGAGCTTTTTCTTTGATGTACAAGATATGGTCTCGCCAGGACAATTTGGAATCAAATATAACGCCTAGGATTTTGCCAGAACTGTATTGGAGTGGAGCATTATATAAGAAGAGTGGGGGTTTGGGGACCGTACGTGAGCGAGAGAAAAGGATGGGGAAAGATTTGGAGGTAGAGAAGCGAAAGCCATGGTTGGTGGCCCAAGAAGTTACTGATGTTATTGCAGACTGAAGGAATTGACAGATCTGGTATGGATGTGCCAGATGCATAGATGGTTAAGTCATCAACATATAGTGATGCTCGGGCTCCTGGTGGTACGACTGAGACTATTTCATTTACAGCAAGAAGGAATAAAGTGGTACTAAGCACACTTCCTTGTGGGACGCCTTCGAATTGAGGAAAGGATGATGACGTAGAAGAGGCAATCTTGACCTGGAAAGTACGTTTAGAAAGGAAGGATTTAATGAAAACACCCGTTTCCACGTAAACCTAGGGAGGACAATTGTTGGAGGATATGGTATCGCCATGTGGTGTCATATGCTTTTTCTAGATCAAAGAATATGGCTAATACGGATTCATGGCGTGCAAATGCCGATGTAATGTATGTCTCGAAATGGGCAAGTGGGTCTGCTGTACTTTGGGCACGTCGGAAACCAAACTGGGAAGGGGAAAAGAGATTATGAGATTCAAGGTACCACATTAAACGGAAGTTAACCATTCGTTCTAGTAGTTTGCACAAGCAGCTAGTTAGAGCTATGGGGCGGTAATCTTGGGGTAGGGTACCTGATTTATTGGGTTTTAAGAAAGGTAGGATAAGAGCATCTCGCCAATGAGAAGGAAAATTTCCTGACGTCCATATGTGGTTGAAAATAGTTAAAAGGAAGGATAGAGAGGAAGATGGGAGGTGTCGGAGCATACGATATTGAATACCATCAGGGCCTTCATGAGTGTTGCGGCACGACTGTAATGCAGCGTTGAGTTCAGAAGAAAAATGAGCATTATAGGACTCATCAGAGGATAGGGTGAAGGTAATAGGGGTGTGTTCCTTGATGGCTTTAATGGAAGAAAAGTGTGGGGAAAGGTGAGAGCCACTACTGACCTGGCTGAAATAGTTGCCCAGTTCATTAGCTACTTCGATAGGCTCAGAGATGAGAATATCTCGAATATGAAGGACGGGTGCAGGATGGGGGGGATGTTTGCCTGATAATTTATGGATCCGTCGCCAAACAGCTGAAATAGATGTAGATGTAATTGAGGAAACATAATTTTGCCAGCTATTTAATTGTACGGCGAAGATGGGCAGATGCTCTTTTAAAGGAAATAAGGGCTGATAGCTGGTGAGGGGTGCCTCGTTTGTAGCGATAGCTGTTCCAGGCTGCTCGTTTTAAGCGAAGCACTTTGGTGCAATCAGAATTCCACCATGGAACACATTTAGAGGTATAAGGTCTTGAAGTTCGAGGAATGGCTGTATAGGCAGCTCTTAGGATCGTGGTTGTAAAACAATGTAGCATATCTGAAATGGACGGTAAGGGGGGTGGAGGGATAGGTATAGTAGAGAGTGAAGTGAAAGTATGCCAGTCAGCTCTATCAAAGCATCAGCGTGGAGGATTAGGAAGTGGTACATATGAAGTAGGAGAAAGGAGTATTGGGAAGTGGTCACTATAGGGGAAGTGGTCTAGAACTGACCAATGGAAATCTAGATGTAAAGTAGGAGAGCATAGAGAAAGGTCAAGGCATGAAAAGGATTGTGTGCGCATGTCAAAGTGTGTGGGGCGATCTGAATTAAGAATAATTAGGTTATTTGTGAAGAGGAAGCGTTCTAGATATCGGCCTCGGGAGTTGGTGGTAGAGTCACCCCACAGAGTGTGGCGGCAGTTGAAATCACCAACTATGAGGAAAGGTGGTTGGAGTTGGGAAATTAGAGTCTCAAAGGCAGTAAAGTCAATGGGATGGGATGGGGAGTAGACTGAAATCACTGTGATCCAGCGGCGAAGAAAGATGCGAATAGCTGTGCACGGGACAGAAGTTTGTATGTGAGGTATGACATAAGGTGTTTTATGATGGATAAGTATAGACGAGACATAAAGGGAGTGTGGGGAAGAGATAAAATGGTAATTGGGAATTGGAATAGGAGGGTGTGTGAGGAAAGTCTCTTGGAGGCAGATAATAGATGGATTATAAGAAGCAAGGATATGACGTAGGTCTGATCTATGAGAGCGGAAACCGCGAATATTCCAATGTAGGAGAGCTATATCCTAGTTGATTTACGAATGATAACGCAAGTACGTGTTGGGGAATTTGAAGGGGAAGGAGCTAGGGGTGTAAAGGAGGGATATTAGGAGGAAGAGAATCTGGAGAAGGGCATTGTTGTGCCATGAGTGATTCTCGAGTGTATCCGGGAGGGAGTGCAAAGGATAGAGGGGATGGAGGGAGGGAGAATGTGCCTATAGTTGGGGTTGAAGGGGGTGGGTTGTGTTGGGAAGGAGTAGATGTGGGGGGAGTATTAGTGTTAGGAGGATGAATATCGGAAGGATGGATAGTTGGAGTTGAAGGGGATGTGCTGTCTTGGGAGGGATTAGGAGGAAGGGGTGTAGGGGTGCTGTGAGTAAGAGGGGGATGCATATCAGGAGGATGGGTATTGGGAGGATGGATATCGGAGGTGGACGGAATTGAGGGGGTTAGGTTGTGTTGAGAGGGAGTAGGAGGAAGAGGTGTACGAGGGGGATGGATATCAGGAGGATGGGTATTGGGAGGATGGATATCAGTGGTGGACGGGATTGAGGGGGTTAGATTGTGTTGAGGGGAGTAGGAGGAAGGGTGTAGGGGGAATATTAGTAGGAGGGGTATGAATATCGGCAACCACTTCAAGTGTGGAAGGAGCATGAGTTATGGGATCTTGTGTCTCAAGCATATAGCTTTGAATGTCATCCATTGTTTCTGCATTGGAGTTTGTTGGAGAGTTTTGTGAG